TGTGTGTGTGTGTGTGTGTGTGTGTGTGTGTGTGTGAAAATGTGTTTACTATTTTTATTCTGGCATTATCTGTTCCAGCACTACGCAAAAGTCGCCTCAAGGTAAGGTAATTTCTGACATAATATGGTTTTAACTTTTAAGTGTTTAAACTTAACACTTTATGCCAAGTTTCAGTGAGTGGAATTTATAAGGAATTTTTATAAAGAATTAATGCCTTGACTACTCAGACTTTTTAATTCATGTTTTCTTTCCACTAATCTTCTGTCATTGTTAGTTCCATGCCACTTGTCAACGTCAATGTTAATTTTTGATTTTTTTTTTTTTAGAAAACAGTTGAGTGTTTACTCAACTGTATAACCTTTTCTTTCATATTTAAATCATGAATTACTGGTGTTTCCATAAGTATCTTATTTAGGTCAGTTGTTTCCAATTTCTGCTACATATTAGAACTGCCTGGAGAGCTTTTAAAAATCACAGTGCTCAAGTCACACCCCATTTTGTGCCATCTCAGCCTAATAGTAATGTTTTAAAATAATAAGTTTAAATAAAATAATATCTAAGTAACATTGATATTTGGCTTCTAATACCAGACATCCTAATGTAATTGGTATATGCGTGTTTTGTGCTATCTCAGCCTATTGGTGGTAATACTGTGGTTAGAAATGCTTCAGGACACTCACCTGGGCTCCTGTGAGCTTCCCACAGACCTGTCCTGTTTCGAAACCAATGTTCTTATGGTTCTTAATATGATTGCAGGACACCCTTTAGCAGTGACCCTCAGGAAACTTTTTGAAAGAAAAACAATTTATTCCTTATAAGCCCTGAAGCTCACAAGACACACCAGTGAGCACACAGCAAGGTTACAGGTAGAGAGGGAGCAAGCTAGGACAGGCCTGGAGTTCTGCTTGAGGGTGGGGATCAAGGGTTTCACGGGTGAATTTAAAAAATAAGAGCGGGAATTTAAAGTACCAGAAGAGAGAAAAGGGAAAACAAAAAACCAAGTGTTCCAAAATGGCCAGTTATTGAAATCAACCAAGAACTCTAAAACAAAGGAGTCTCAGTTAGGGAACGTGGCCTGACACTTTATCTAGTCATTTGGCTGCCTATGTGTTTATTCAAGATAGTCATCTTTAAAGTAAGTGGATGCCTCAGCAATCCCGGCTTAAATCAGCCACCTGCATTATGAGAAAGGGGTGGCAGGAGCCACTGTCAGGGTTTACACGACAATCTACCCTGTGATGCCAGAGTCAATGATGAGGACGTTAACTGCCCTGATAGTTGGTATGTTAAATGTCAGGGTTAAATAATTATACAGGCAATAGTTTGAAATCCAGTCTGTAGCCATTGTCCCAAACTTGAAAGAGTCCAGCCATGAAAATGGGTCAGTGATCTTGAAGGCTAGCCCTGGAAGTCTGTTCACGGATTTGGGTAATAAGTAGTCTGCTTTTTTTTTTTTTTTTTTTTTTTTTTTTTTTTTTAAGTTTATTTATTTTGAGAGGGAGGGACAGAGAGAGACAGACAGAGAATGAATAGGGGAGGGGCAGAGAGAGGGGGAGAGAGAGAGAGAATCCCAAGCAGGCTCTGAGCTGTCAGCATAGCCTGATGTGGGTCTCCATCTCATGACCCCTGAAATCATGACCTGAGCCAAAATCAAGAGTTGGGTACTAAACTGACTGAGCCATCCAGGTGCCCCATGGTATAAATAGGTTTGAGCCTGTCCTGTGTTGGTAGATTGTTTCATATTCAGTGGAACCAATCTCTTGGTCCTGAGAATAACTCAATTTAATTAAAGTGTTGTGTCTTATTTCAGGAAGTGGTTGTGCAGGTGGGTTCCTCAAGTTAGGCCTGTTTAAAAAAAAAAAAAAAACTGAGTAAATTTAAAGATCTACACTGGCTTTATTCATGGTTATGAATTGGGCAGCATCTCCTCTAACAAATAAAAAGGAGCTCCTAAGAGCTGTACAAAGTGAAAAGCAAGGCAGAAGGGGGCATGACAAGGAAGTTACTGTCAAAGAGTAGATTGTTTCAAGCAAGATCACCTTCCTTTTGGGGAAGGGAGAGGTCTATCAGGCAGATAGTGCTGACCAGGAAATTCCAGACTGACAGATTAAGATTATAATCCCAGTTTGTGAGTTCTGAAGGCAGTCAGTTGAGAAGATTTCTAGATGTCAGACTCAAAGCATCTTCAGATGGAGTGAGGGCAGACGGGGGCAATCTGTTAGATTTTCCTGGTTTGCAGTTTGAATGTCTCTGGTGATCTTTTCTGAGTGGCCCACGCAGCAACAGGCACCAAAATTGTCTATGCATGAGCTGTTATGTGATTTCTTTGAAGTTTATGTCAAGTTGTTCCACGTTAGCTTGCATGACTTTGGGAAAGGGCAGTTTTCGTTCTCAGTGTTTCCAAGTCAGAAGGGTGGGAGAACATTTGGAAATGTTAGTTTAGAGAGTTATAGCCAAATATTGGAGGAAACTAGAAGAATTCAGGATCCAGTCCAGTTTAGAGGTGGAAAAATAAAACCTCAAAGACCATTAACTTTGTGATATCCACAAAGTTATATTACTGAAACAGTCATTCTCTCACA